GCCTCCCAGGACCTGTCTGAGACAGGCTGCGAGGTAGCAAACGGGAGGGCAGTGCCGGGCAGCGGGGTGGCCAGCAGCTCACGGCTCTGGAGATGTCTGTCCAATCAGGTAGCCACCAGTCACACGCGGCTACTTAAGTTCAAGTTAATTAAAATTAGACAAAATTAAACATTTAGTTCTCCATTCACTCCAGTCCCCTTTCAAGTGCTCGATAGCCATATGCTGTTAGTGGTTACTGTATTGAATGACTCGTTTGTAGAACTGGACACAGCAGCTTTCCCTCATCCCTCAGCCCCACGTGGCCAGCCCTCGGGGCACACTATTCCCTGTGCTTCCCACCCTCTCCCTGTCCACACCTGTGTCAGTGGTTCCTAAAACCTCTTCAAATTCCAATTTCTGTGTGTCTTCCGAGCTCCTGTGCTGGAAAACTGGCTCTCCAGAAAAGAGCCGATGTGCAGTGTGTGTAGGTCTGCACAGGATAGATACACCTGCCGTGGCGGCTTCCAGCTCCCGGTGGCTGAACAGCTGGCTGCAGGCTCTCAGGAAGCTGGGATGAGCCGGCCCAGGGCACCCCGCCCTGCCTCTCCCGCGGGACCCCCACTGGGACAGGGGTGTCGGGCTGCTGCCTCCGCTGGCTGCAGTGATGATGCAGACTCCCCTCTGGGGCCCGCTGCCCAGGGCCACAGCGTCACTATGAGCCCTCAGTTCTCATCACCCCAGAGCCAGGTTAAGCGGACGTGGGAGAACCACTTTGTCATCTGGGCCCCAAAGTGGCACAGCTTCCGTTCTGAGTCCCACAAGCTACCCGTGAAGGAGTTCCCGCAGCCTCCATCTCCCGTTCTCTCTCTGTCTGTGTCTCTCTCTTTCCAAGGATCAAATCAGGCCTGGTAAAGGCAAAAAAAAAAAAAAAAAAAAATAGAAACCTGCGAGCTTCTTCAAATTCTATGGTCTTCTCATCTCTATGTGCGGGATCTGGTCCCCGAAGTGCATCCTTCTAGATCCACGCTCCCTCCTACCTGTCGGTTCAGGAAAAATGATACTGGGTGCAAGTGATGGTGAGGGTGGGACAGACCCACCGACCGGCACAGGGCGACTGTGAGTCCCACTAAACAAGCACCACTGCTAAGCAGCCAACAGCAGAGCTTCGATGAAATGTATCGTGGTTTACCCAGGTGATGGGATATGCACAGCCCCTGTAAAGATGCTTCACGGTATGGGAATGGGGAAAGGGTTACGGTATGCTGTCACATTCAGAAGCGAGAGATTTCTTTCTGGTCGCAGGCCGCAGCATCAATGAGTCTTGGGGACACGACGCCAAGTGCAATAAGCCAGACACGAAAGGGCAAATACCGTGTGATTCCGTTTCTGTGAGGCATCTACAGTAGACTCACAGAAACAGGAAACTCGGTGGTGGCTGCCGGGGCTGGGAGGAGGGAGGAAGGGGGCGCTGTGCAGTGGGTAGAGCTGCAGTTTTGCCGTTTGAAGAAGTCCTGGAGCGCCGCTGAGCCGCAGCGGGAATCCAGTTACCACTGCTGAACCGTACACTTGGAAATGTAAACAGAAATTTAAAAGCAAGAGATTTCCCCCCCCCCCAAACCAAACAAGAGACAACTGTTTCTTAAAACCCAAGATCCTCTGTTTCTTCTTCCAGGGCTGGCGATGCGACACCGAACAGTTCTTGCCCCCGATCTTGGGCAGCTCCCTCTCCCGTGGGGAGCCCGGTTAATGGAGAAGCCACGTGAATCCATGTAGAGCTGCAGAGAGAGAGGAACTTCCGGGAAGGAGCGAGCACTGTGCTCTGAGCGGGTTACATCCAGGCACTGAGCTGGCCCGGGAGGCAGGGAGAGTGGCTGAGGGGACAGGAGGTGAGGCGAGGACCCAGGACCGGGCCCCTCGGAGGGGAGAGCTCACCAGCAGGTGCAGGGAGAGAACCTGCATCCTTTGGTGAGTGTGGGAAGGACACCCGCCCTCTCCTTCCCAGCAGGTCCCCCCGAGTGAGAGTGACGGGCTTGTCTCTGTGCCTTATCGCTACCGTCCACGCCTCCACGGTGAGCTTGGGGCTTGGAGGGTTCGCAGGAGGAGAGCGCAGGCAGCATGGCCCGTGCTGCGCAGACCGACAGCAGCACTCTGTATTTACTTATGTTCCTCCTTGTTTCAAGGAGAGTTTCAAGCTGCTTACAGTGACGTTAGCAACACAGCGGGCTGAAACACCTTGTCACTAGGTTCGAAAGATGAGGGGAGGGGAATATAGCTGAGTCGCAGGAGCAAGGAGCAGGGTGTCCCTTTATTCACAGGGAGCAACCTTGTCATGTTCCTCGTCAAGTCCCGTCTGGCCTTTAACCCATATATTGACATTTAATCGTCCCGTTCTTAAACTCTGTCTGCTCAGATCTGTGAACAACCTGTCATTGATTTCCTCTGCCCTTAAGTATATCCTTTTATTTATTCCCATTCTGTCTTTTTTGCAGTTTAAAAAATCCATCCTCCCCGCCCCCCCCCACGGAAGGGGCCAGGCCTGGCCCACCTCAGCACAGTGACGCCTTCAGAGCCGCGCACAGTAGGTCCTCACGTGTTTGTGACTGACTGAGGGCCACTTGCGCCCGCTCCCGTGGCACTCAGCCAGTGACACCCTCCGCAGGGCTCAGGACACAGTTGCCAAGTTGATTTATGGGACTTATTATCCCAAGTGGCGGCAGAGAATAGATATTGATTCAAAAGGGTTTAAATAAATTAGTGGATGCACAAGCCAGGAGAGGGCCGTGGACCAAGGAGAGGGGGCTTGTCAAGCAGCTGAAGCAGATGTCATAAGGAACACGGGTCCTCTCGGGAACCGAGGGAGGGGACTCAGGGGGCACCCAGGGTTGGGCGGTGGAGGCAGCAAGCACAGGTTCACATCCAGGCTCCGTCCCTCACATGCCGGGGGAGTGACCTTGGGCAGAGAACGGAAACAAGACCACCTCCTGTGAGGATGCCACAAAGAATGAACGCGCACGATCTCCATTCTAGAGGTGGGCAAACCGAGACTCAGAGAGGCAAAGTCACTTGCCTTGGACAATCTAGCTAACCTCTCTGAGCCTCAGTAACCCACTCTGTAAAATGGGTAGACAAACCTCTTCCCGAACGGATGACTGTGACCGTATGGGGTTGCTGGAAGACTGAAGGCAGGGAAGGCATTTTGTGAACTCTAACAGCCCGTGTTAATGCCAAGCTCCGGTCTTTATTGTGGTAGCATCATTAGCTCCTTGCCTTCCACCTACAACCGCCTGTCACACACAACCCCAAAGCCAGCCAGGGACCCGGGTTTTCATCCAAAGCAAGGCTGGTCGAAGCATTTGGCTCGGGCTCACGTCTTTGCAGCAAGGAGCTCGCCTCCCCCGCCCCCTTCCCTGCCTGTCCCCATCCTCCGAGAGGAAAAGAACCTTGGGAAGAATGCTAATGTTGGCTTATAAATTCCAAACGCGTAACCCTTGAGAAGTCATTTAGTTGATTACATGAAGCAGCCCTTTGGTCATTCTTTAAAAGGGCCTGCTGCTGCCCTGCGCCTCTCTCCCAGGGAGCGGGAGGAAGACTGGCCTTTGTGCACCAGTTCCTGGGCCCAGGAGGACTCTTCCGGCTCCTGAGTGGACCCAGAACCATCCCTGGAAACCACTCCTCTGGGGATTCATTCCAGGCCCCGTGACCCTCACGCCAATCCACCTGCGAGGGCTAAGGCCTTAAGAGCCCTCCTTTGCTGTGATGTCCATGAAACAGACCGTTTACTCTCCTGTTAATATGATTCAATTAGTAAAGGGGGGCGGGGACTTACTGCTGGCCTGTCATTCATTCCACGGCCCGCTGGGCGGGCTGCCTCGCGGTGGCCGAGGCGGGAGTGGGGGTGGGTGGGTGGCAGACTCATTCAGCAGGCATGCTGGGCCGCACCTCCCTCCCTGGGGACCGGTCAGGTGGCAGGTGACTGTGCCATGCAGGTGAGCTCTCACGTCTCAGCACAGGACCAGGCTCAGCAGGAGTGTGGCTTTGCGATCTGGAAGGGCTGACTTCGAATCTGGCTCTGGCCCTTAGCGCAGGGTCACCGTGGACCTGGTGCTTAAGCCCCCGAGGCTCAGATTCGACTTCTTTACCTCACTGTTGGGTAAAGCGAGGGCTAGAGACATGCCTGATAATCAGGAGGGGCCCATAGTATTGGGCTCGTCTGTCCCTGATTTTTAATCCTCACAACAACCACTTCACAGACGAGGAAGCGGAGAGAAATCTGGGAACCTGTGTTGCCTGCAAGCGCTGATGCTCTCTTGCCTCAGTGAGGGAACGAAGCTCTGGCATGACCCCGGACCACACCTGGACAGTTTCTGGGAGGCCACCTGACACAGCAGGCTGTCCCCGCCCATGGCTGGCGAGCAGCAGCTGGAGCGGTGACGGTCCCTGCTTCTGCCTGGTTGGTCTTTAAAATGTAAGTTCTGTTTCTCAGCCACGAATGTCCACCATCTCTAGTCCTCATCACTACCCTGAACAAAGTGAGTTTACAAAATGCCAACAGCACAGATGAGAAAACAGAGGCACAGAGAGGTGCCACGACTTGTCCAGGGCCACACGGCATGCACATGCCAGAGAAAGGAGGGCTTGGCTGGTCCGGAGGATATGCCAGCCCCCCAGTGGCTGACAAGCCCCGCCCCACTCCAGCTTCAACTCCTCCTTCTCCCCCACGTCAACTAAAGGAAAACCATGTCCCATTCGGGGCTTGTCAGCCACTGCACCAGCTCAGAGAGACTGAGGGAAGAAGTGTTTTCCAAACACCAGGACAGTCTTTCCTGGCTTCCCGTCTTGCCCTGTGCTGCTGTTAATACCCCTTTCCCAGGGGACTCTGGGAAATGCAGGTGCGGGGCCTGGGTAGCAGCTGCCACCCTCCGTCCTCCTGCGGGCTGGTACCTGCTCTGAGTGTGTCCCGGGCTGTGCGCTCAGACTTGACCATGTTTGGTCATGGAGGCTAATCCCAGATGGGGACCAAAGGCCGCTTCCCTGGAAACAGAGACGGCTGGCAGCCCCAGCTTCCTGCTGGAGCTCAGGCGGCCGCTTTTTGGGGCGGGGGCTGGGGGCCGGGCAGATAGAAAGTGCCTGCCTGCTGAAGACTCCAGGGCGCTGGGAGACTGTGAGTACTGCGTGCCCGGAGCACTTGGGGGAGTTTCTCCAAAGCGCGGGCTGGACGGGAAGGAAGGGGAGGGCTTTGGAGGGAGCCGGCAGTGGGAACGCCCTTCTTCAGGGGCTGTGCACTGGGGTTTGGGGTCCAGAGGGGCAGACGTTGGTGCCACTGGGGACCAGAACTGCTGGCATCTGAACTTCAGCTGGGAGGTGGGGGGCAGAGCCCTGGCCCTCAGGTCCCAGCTGCCAATGCAGCCGGAGAGAGAGCTGCAGCCGAGAGGTCAGCCCAGGAAAACGTACTCCCTGTGACACTGTAATGTCTCTGTTAGAATGTAGGGGAACCCCACTTCTCAGTGCCCCAGATGAGGGAGGAAAACTTGCCATTGGGTGTCATCCCTGTCAGTCATCTTGGAGGCAGTGACAAGGTTATATATCCTTGGTGCTGGATCCCAGGATCTTCTCTTTAGGACAGTGGGGGAGGAGTGGGGTGGGGAGCGGGGGTAGAAGGGGGAAAGGATCTCTGGGGACACTTGAAACAGTCAATACTTGGGAGGGAAGCCTAAGTGGAAAATAAAGTGCTTTGCTGAAAATCCCTTTGGACCAATGTCTCTCTCCTGGACACTCACTAATGTATAAAAAATAACCTGTTTATTACTTTAGGGACCTGGCAGGGAAAATACAGTTCTTCCTGATATCCGGCTAAAATTTTCCCCGAAGCAGGGGATACAGAGAGAGGGCCCCATGCCCCTGGTATCTTTGGTAGAAACAAACTATGGTTACCTAAACCAACAAAACAACAAGGAAATGTACCCAAAGGCTAATGGGGCAAGTCACAGAACAGATGGGAACCCCATAAGGGACAGAAGCCGGCAGCTGTCAGGTGCCAGGTGACTTACAGGTGACAGTCACACCCCTGGAGGGTGTTCAGTGGCCCGGGGCGGGAGAGGTGGGGGAGGGCCTCTGCTTGCACCGGGTGAGGCAGATGCCCAGAAGGAAAGTGAGGAGGAAAGAGGAGAGGTGCCAGCTACCCCCACCCCCCATTCTGCTTCGCCCCGGGTGGCTCAAGCCTCCAGAAGAGAGAGCAGTTGCTGCAGCCACTGAAGGCCTCTGCCCTCGCTTGAAGAGGGAGGTGGCCTCACAGGACCCTGACCGTGGGAACCTCAAGCTGCCCCCAGTGCCTGTGGCTGCCTGCTGGGTCCTCTGCCTGCTGCCCCCGGCTGGGCCCTGCTGTGGGGCAGGCTGGCGGGCAGAACTGTGAAGGCCCCGGGTTTCTCGGACAGCGTCCTAGGATGTCCCGCCCCTGCTGCTCGAGGAACTAGTGTATCTCCCGTGCCAGTTTCCTATTGCGCCTTCACAAACGGTCACGACAACAGAAATCTACTTGCACAGAGTTCTGGAGGCCAGAAGCCCCAAATTGGCAAGATGTTGGCAAGACTGTGATCACGGTGTCACCAGCGCCGCACTCCCTCCAGAGGTTCCTCGCCTCCTCTGGTTGCCGGGCAGGGGGGGGGGCGGTGCTGCCCGCAATCCCTGGCATGTGTGGCATCACTCCAGTCTCTGCCTCCCTGGTCACATGACCTTCTCCTCTTCTGAGTCTAGTCTCCGCCTGCCTCCTCCTGTAAGGACGTTGTGGGTCTACATGGATAACCCATGTGGATCATCTCAAGCTCCTTAAAGTCTCTGCCATGTTAAGTTCAATCACAGATTCCAGGGCCGAGAACATGGGCATCTTGGGGTCACTATTGAGCCGACCGTACACTGTGACCTTGGGCAGGTCACTTTACCTCTCTGAGCCACAGGTCGTTCATCTGTAGAAGGGAGTTAATAACACTCGCCTCTCAGAGCTGTTGGGAGGCCTACTGGGGTCCAAAAAAGCCCTCTGACATTGCAAGGCTCCATATACAAATAGGGGCGATATTAATATTGGAGGCCCCTTCCCTCTCACCTGTCTTCCCCTCTGTGGATTAATTGTCACCTGTGCTGCTCATGTCTGTGTGTCTCTGTGGCCTTAGCAATGACTGCTGTCCCCAGCGGACATGGGGAAGAAGCTGGTGATGGCCCAGAAGCGGGGAGAGACTCGAGCCCTTTGCCTGGGCGTGGCCATGGTGGTGTGTGCCGTCATCGCCTACTACATCCTGGGCACGACCATGCTGCCCCTCTACCAGAAAAGGTACGCACCCGCCTGGCCTGTCCCCCGCCTCCAGCCGCTCCCCTAAGGTCTGGTCTGTGAGGAACCCCAGACTTCTTCCTACCTTTCCCCGGGATCCTCATGCCAGCAGGAATCCTCATTCGTAGGGTCAAGGATTCCAATGCAGGGAGGGTGGAGGGAAGGCCGGACTGGTCCCTGCTGGTCTGGGATCCTGGGACTTGGAGGTAACACACAGGAGGCCTTTCCACGGGAAACATCAAAGAGTCAGAACAAATGCTCCAGTGAGTTTCATCCCAGGAGGCGTCAGTCACAGAACCGTGTACCCCATCTGCACAGTGTGATCCCCCTCTGAAGCCTCCTGGTCAGTGGGTATCTAGCCTCCTGTGGAATATCTCAAGTGACAGGGAGCTCACTACCTCGCTGTGCACACCTACTTTCTGATAAATAGGACCTGTCTACGCTGAGCCAAAACCCGCTTCCCCGGAGCTCTGCTCTGGATCTCGGAGAATGTTCCATGCCCTTGCTCCCTGACATGTCAGCCACGTGAGCTTTTTAAGGGAGAGCGGTGACGTTTCTGATCCAGCTCTATCTGGAACAAACACACTCAGTCCTCCCGGCCTGTTCTTAGGCCAAGTCTCAGCCCCTCGCCTCGGGCACGTGCCAGTCCCGCTCCTGCCAGCCCCTCGCCTGATGAAGGGGGGAGAAGTCACAGTTGCTTTGCTGCTGATGTGTTGATGAGTCTGTTAGCCGCTCCGGGGTCGGCTCCTTTCTCCCTTTTGACACTCTGGAGAGATTCCAGGCTGGCACCTGGCCGCTCAGAGCAGCCGTGCACCTCCGACACGGCACCTCCAGGTTAAGCTCGATCCCCACCGCCCTCCCCACCTGGCACAGACCAAACCCTCCTTCACCTCCACTTTTTAGGGGAAAGGGCACAGATTCTGGAGCCACCCAGACCTGACTTCAGGTCCTGTGCGGCCTCGGAAAAGTCACTTGATGTTTCTGAGCTTCTCTTCCATCTCTGAGGATGAAGATGATGTGCCTGCCCTTTTTAAAACAACCAGGGCCTGGGCCTCATGCACCCGTTCTGGGGTGTGGCTTGGATGTGGGAATCTTCATCAAAGTCCCCCTGGGTTTTGAAGACCATTATGTGGATGAGGTCCAAGAGGCCATCAACATTGACATTCGGATTCTGTGTCCTCCCCTGGGCCCAGGGACCCTGGGTCACGCTCCTCCAGTGCTGGGTGCTTGTGGGATGATGCAAGTCCCGGCCCTGGGTCTCTCCAAGGGGTTCAGTCAGGGTGCTCTGTGCCACACGGGTTCTGAAATGTGTGCGTGTGTGTGATCTCTCCAGCGTGTGGACCCAGGAATCCACGTGCCACCTGATTGAGACCAACATCAGGGACCAGGAGGAGCTGGAGGGCAGGAAGGTGGCCCAGTACCCATGCCTGTGGGTCAACGTGTCCGCCGTGGGCCGCTGGGCCGTGCTGTACCACACAGAGGACACTTGGGACCAGAACCAGCAGGTACGAACTGGGGGGATGGGTACCTGTCCCCGTACCCCTGGCAGGTGTGAGGGCCTGTCCCTAACTGGCTCCCTAGCTCCTCCCTGGAGAGTGGGGGCTGAGAAAGATGACCCCCTTGGCCAGGGACCGTAGCTGGCATGAGGTCCAGCCAGAACTTGCTCTTCTGTGTGAGAGTCACACAGACCTCGGTGTGAATCCTTGCTGTGCCACTAACTGGCTGTGTGACCCGGGGCGGCTGACTTAGCCCCTCTGTGCCTCAGTTTACACCTTTGCTGAATTGCTCTTGTGCAAAGAGCACTGGATCTAATGTGCCAACCTCCATGTCGGGTGCATAGCATGCACGCATAAAGAAGTAGTTGCTGGTGTTAGTACCTCATTCTGTAAGTCAAATGAAAGGCCAGGCCCAGAGCTGACCCCCCAAGGGAACCCCTATGCATCCCTCACCCTAGGAAGCTGGGGTCCAGGGCTGGTGCAAAGGCAACACTTGGGATATTTTCTCATCACTGCCTCCCAACATCCCTCCCGCCCCCAAATCCACATGGTAGCCCTCCCTAAAGGAAACACAAGTCGGCCCATATTCATTTGCTCATTTGCTCCCTCTTTCATTCAACGGTCATTGGGCACGTCCTGTGTTGGGGGCTTAGGACTCAAGAGGAGAGGCTCAAGCAGGAAATAATCCTGGTGGGGAGGGAGCCGTGCCATAGAGAAGAAGGGGGGACATTGTGGGATTAGAGGAGGGGGGGCGCTTTCCAGCCACCAGTGAGGCAGGCGAGGGTGCCAGGCATTGGGGTTAGGCGTTTAAATATCAGGCAGGCACAAGGGCCACAGAAACATGGAGGGACACACAGGTCAAGGGCAGGGCGCAGGAAGGCCTGAAGGGAGGACAGCAAAACCAGGCTCCCACTCCTGACCAACGGATGCAGCGTCTGGGCTCTCCAGGTGGTTCAAAGGCAGACAATTCCTGTTGTGAGCAACCTGGAGTCTTTCCAGGGTTTGGGGTCCAGGGAGCATGATCAGAGAGGAGCAGAAGAGTGTGCCGGTCCGTGACTGGGCAGAGGGGCGGGGCCACAGCAAACACCCAGGAGGAAGATTGGACCTGAAGCAGGGTGGATGCTGACAGTCAGACTTTGGTGGCTGATAGGATGGGAAGGGGCAGAGTGTCTGGGGGGACAGTGGGATTACGGACAGTGCTGGGGGTTGGGGGTCATGGAGAAGTGGGTGTGGACAGTGCAAGGTGGCCTGACTGTTCTGCCGTCACTCCAGTGCACTACTCAGCCCCGCCAGACGGAGAAAGAATCCCCAAAGCCCCCGAATCGGCTCCCACTGGGACGCCTGCCTCTCTTGGTATTCAATGGCCCCTGACTTATCCTAAGAAGCAAGCAGCACAGTTTCAAAGGCAGGCAGGCACCATCATGGTGTGACAGGGATTGGGCACAGGCTGGCTTGCAGGCCGCCTCCCTGATGCTACGGTTGTCAGCTCAGAGGGACAGGAGGCCAGACTGTCCCCTGAGATGAACTGCCAGCGGCATGTCTGGCTCTGGAAGGCAGCCACCGGCTGTTCTGTCTTCTCTCCTATCGTACCCAGGCATGACCAGGAGCAGTTGCTAATGGCAGGCTGCTAGCATGTGGGGCAGAGGAAGTACCTTCATGTTTTTGCCACTCAGCTGGGTCAAAGGGCCAGCTGCCCCACTACTTCATTCAGCTCTGGGGTGCAAGGGGCTGGTGCAGCAGGCCAGCTGGGTGCTGTGTGAAAGGCCCCTCTCTAAAAAGGGAAAGGAGGAGCTATCTTTGCAATATCATGGTTAAGTCCCAATATCATTATCCTATATAATAAAGAGGTAATATGCAAATGGTCGTCACGCAGTGACGTGTAACGACCAATCAGCAGGAGGGCGGGGCAGTGAGCTACAAGCGGCAGAGAGCTATGAGCAGCAGTGGGCGGGGCGGCCAGCTGAGGCAAGTGGCAGCAAGCTACCCGTGCATAGATTCGTGTGCAGGGCCACTAGTTAATAATAACAGCATCTCCCACTTATTGAGCACTTACTATGTGCTCAGCTTTGTGTGAAGTGTTTATATGCATCCTCTCTTCTAATCCCCACAACAAGTCAACTAGGCAGGCACCCTCACAAACCCAGTTTACAAGGCTCAGAGAAGGTATGACACTTGCCAAGGTCACACAATTTGGAATTGGTAGTTGAACCCAAGCCTGTCTGGCTCCACAGCCACACGTCACTCAGTGAGCTAGGTTACCCAACGTCACAGTCAGAGGCACTGGGGAGACTTGAGCTAGACCTTCTCAGCTCAGGATTCTGAATCCATCTGCTCCTGGGACCCTGAGGTGCCCAACAACTCTGCATGCCAGATTCCCCAGGAGCCAACTTCTCCCCAGCCTCAGCTGCTCCCTAGATGGCTGGCTGGTGACCTACTTCTGGATGCAGCTCCCCCACTTCCCAGGCTGCCAGAACTCTGATGCAACCATCCTTCATTCTGCTGGACTGAGCACTGTCAGGGTCAGCAGCTGTGAGGTCAAGGCCTCATTCAAATCCAGGGAGTAACCGAGGCTGGGGAGAAGCTGGCTCAATAGTTTACACATTGTTGCTCTTGGACATAATTGCTCTAGCCCAGTGGTCTCAAACTTTTGAAAATGAAGGAATCACTTGATTCCTGGGCCCCACCCTTGGTGATTCAGAGGGCCAGCCCTCCAGGGGGTCTGCTGGAGGGGAGGGGGTGGGGAGGGGGTACCCTCACTTGCAGAACATCTCCCACAGGCTCCCATAAACAATACCCAGACCTCCCGGCACAGAGCAGAGCTAGAACCAGGGTCCCTGCCTTGCACTCCTCTGCAGAGCTTTCCAGCTGCACCTCATCTGACCAGGCCAGAGGCTCCTCAGAACAACAGTCAGTGTCAGAACTGAATGTGTGCCACACTCGTGTGCACAACGTTCCTCTGGAGGCACCCTGCCTCCCCTCTGCACCCCAGCGTCTAATACTGGCTGGCCAGCACTTTAATTTGGCTCACACAGGGCGAGACCACAGAGGGTGTTCAATGTGAACTGTTGCCAATATTTGCAGAATGTGAGAGTTCACATTAAACTCTGGTTTTCTGGCTTCTCGTGACATGTCAGAGGCCTGGCTGCAATAGTTCTTCTGGATCCCATGGTGACCCCTCCCCAGATGGAGTGATGACTGCCAGTCGGGGTGCATCTGGCTGCCTCCTGTCACCAGGCCCCACGACTCCGTGACAGTTCTCTATGGCACACAGGCAAGGTGGCACCTGCCTTCTTATTCTCTCACCGCGTCACTTGTGGGCATCCCTGCGTGAGCCCTGCAGGTACCCGAGCCTGTGACCTCTGGCCTGAATCCAAATGCAGAGCCACTGGGCCTGTGTCACTCACTGCCTCTCATTGGTCTCCTTAGTGAAGCTTGAAGTCCTTCTTTAATAACATCGTTGGAAAAGATATTGCTTTCAACCCATTTAAGAGATGAAGCTATCAAGGCTCAGAAAGGGTGAGTGATTGGAAGCAGAGCCAGGACTCCAGCTGGGCCCTGAGCAGCCGCAGGGCCACTGTGCTCACAGATGACACTGTGAGGGCACCCTGTAGCCTTAGATAGTTCTGGCTCCCCCCCCCACCCCCCGCCAGGGGCCTGACTCCAACGCTGGCATTGTTCTTCACTCCTGGCCACCCACTCATCTCTGGGTGCTAAGAGATGGGCACTCCCACTCCAAAGCAACTCCTGCTTCTCCCCGCAGTGCTCCTACATCCCAAGCAGCCTGGACAACTACCAGCTGGCCCGGGCCGACGTGGAGAAAGTCAGAGACAATTTCCACGAGCACCGGGTTTTCTACTGCTTCTCGACCACGCGGGAGAATGAGACCAGGGTCCTGTACCGGCGCCTCTACGGGCCCCAGACCCTCCTGTTCTCTCTCTTCTGGCCCACCTTCCTGCTGACCGGAGGCCTCCTCATCATCGTCATGGTGAAGATCAACCAGTCCCTCTCCATCCTGGCGGCTCAGAAGTAGACCCGTGCACATCACAACACTGCTCAGGTCGCAGGGGGCTGGGGGGGCCCTGGGCTGTACCCCGTTTGTGTATCCATGCCTCTTCCCTCTGCCTTCCCACTCTCCCTCCCAATCCACTCAGTCTTCCACAGCACGCGTGGCCTCTGTTAAGTCCTTTCCTGCTCAAGAATGGGCCATGGCTCCCCAGTGCCTCGGGGAGCACAGGCCAGCCACTTACAGCTCTCCATTCCCTGTCCCCCCTCCACGGACTCCAACCCATTTCTGGCTGAGCCACCCGCCACCCCACAGATGACGACGGTTCTGACCTCTGCGCCGTGTTCTCGCCGCTGACTCAAAGGCCTGCCCGTGCTGTCCAAAACGCTGTCCTCAGCAAACCCCGGCTCCTTTGTGAATTTCATAATGAAAACAGCGGCGCGTGCAGAGAGCACAGTTAGAGCCTCTCTTGTTTTCAGGACTCTAAGTGCCTTACACATTTTTACTCTAATGTTAGCAAGTACACAAAGAAACAATGGGACTACAAGGAAATATACGAAAATGCATCAAAATACTGACAGTGAGGTGGTGGTTAATGTGAACTGTCTTCCTTTATCCCCCTTTGTAATGTTTGGTACTTTTCTAAATTTTCAGCAATAGGAAGGTTTGGTTTTGTTGCTTGTTTTTAACCAGAAAAGCAATAGTACATGTTATTTGGGGGAAAGTTGGAGCCTCCATCACCAAACAGGTGAAGTGGGCCGAGGCGGGGGTTGGGCCCCCATCAGAGGAGACTTTTGAGAACAGGCAAGCGTAAGGGCCCTCCATGGAGGGGAGGTACCCGCCCAGATGGGGGTTTACCCTGCGGGGAAACGCAAGGGCACTGGCCCCGCTGAGAAAACCCTTCTCGGTTGCAAAGGGCAACATTGGAGGCAGCCGCCACCTCCACCATCACTCCTGCATCCGCCTTCCCGCACGAGGGCAGTGGGCGTTGAGCCAGCCCCTGGACCACGGTGCCAGCATTCTGGGCAGACTTTCGAGAAATGCACATCCTCAGCCCCCCATCCTGTCAGAGCCCCCAAGGGGGTGTGATGTGCTGGCATCTGTGGGGTCAGAGCAGGGGCTGCTGGGAGTTCTGACATGTGCTCATGTGTGGGAACCAGGCCCCCATCCCTGTGCTGTTGGGGATGGATACACGACTCCTGGGCAGGGCAAGTCCTGAGCTGAGTGCAAGGTCAGGCCGGTGCCCTTGAAGCTGCTCCTGGAGCGGCGATTCCAGACGCAGCCTCGGAGTGAGTCACGTCCGTCCCTGCCGCTGCCAGGCTTCATCTCTCCGATGCTGGGCTGCTCTGTCTATAAAAGACAGACTCCTCCCTCGGGGAAACTGAGAGGGCTGAATAAGGGCCTGGCACATAGTAGGTGGCCAGGAAGGAGGCTATTGTTAATGACAATAAGTGATAAATACTCAGAAACTTCCAGAAGAAATTATACCAACAATAATGTCAACTAGCATTTTGGGTGCTTCTTTATGACATGCCAGGCACTGTGCCAGGCAGTGTGCCTTGTAAGAATTCAGCGAGGCGCTACTGAATCCATCAGAGAGGAGGAGAAATACGGGACAGGGTCATGTACGAGGACTTGTGAAGTGAACGCCTGCATTCGCTAGCTGGGTGACTTGGGGCAAATAACTTTGCCTCTCTGTACCTCAATTTTCTCATTTGCAAAATGGGAACTAATCATAATATCTCCTTGTAGGACTGTTGGTATTAAATGACTTATTATATAGTGTTCCTAGAAGAGTGACTGACACACAGTGAGTGCTATATAAGATACTATGCAGAACGATGCTATATAAGATACCATGCAGAACGAAGGTTCTAGGAGGTCACTGGCCACTAGGCAAGTGTAGCCATCCATACAGCAAGTGAGGAGCTGGGAATCAAGCCCCAAGCTCGCCGATTCCAGTGCCTGGCCTCTCAGCTGAAGGGCTCAGGGATGCAGCCCCGCCGCCCCCGTGCCCAGGTCTGGAACAGTGTGCAGCCCTGCAACCCAGCGGGCCCTCCTGTGGGTCAGGGATCTGAGAGGCGGGCATCCGGAACCTGCACCAGCACCTGCTACTTCCAGGCCCGGGGCCCTGACCCAGCTCCACGGTCTTATCCGCGGACTCCCTCTCCAGGGGAGGCAGCACCCCATCCCCAGGCGCTTCCTCCGGGCTCAGGGCAGTCTCAAGCTCCTCCCGCTCTTTCAATGAAGTCCCAGTTGTGCTGCCGTATTAGCTTTCTGCACGATGTTGCCATCGGGGAAGTTAGGTAAAGGGTACATCGCATCTCTTGGTGTGATTTCTTACAGCCCCAAGTGAACCTGCAATTATCTCCAAAATGTAAGTTTAATTTTAACAAATAAACAAGAAAAAGAAGCCCCCACACGAGTCTCACATGTAGGGGCTCCTCTGTAAGTGGGTTCCATGCACCTGCACGTGGGGCTACAATACACAGCAACTCAGCGTATCCAAGCAGCCCCTGCAGGGGAAAGGCCGCACCCTCTAGAAAATGTAGTGCCTGGGGGGCCAGGCCCCACTGCCCCTGCACTATTAACCGTGACCTTCATTCCCTTGAGACAAATGCCCCCGTCCTGTCAATAGCGATGGCCCACTGCTATCAAACCCACACCCGCCTGCTGCTCGCGGAACTTCATGAGCAGGACCAGCGTGAAATAACGGCATTTAAGCGGGAGGGAATGACACACCGAGGAGAATGTTTTGGGGAATAACGGTGCCTGGGAGCAGAGAGCGCTCATTGGTTCTGAATAGATCACCCTGCTAATGAGGATCTCGTGCTTGCACTGTTTTTGCTTTTCCTCTGGTGGGCCAGTGGCTCACGCCTGGAGAGGTGTGCCTGGCTCGCACGCCCATGTCCCTCCCCTGGAACTCAGGCACCTGCTGGAGGTCAGAGGCAAGGGGATGGGGAGGGGCAGAGAGGACGGAGTCACTGCCTGTTTCAGGGAGCATTCCATCTTCTTGCCTCTCTCCCTCCTGCCCCTCCCGACCATTATTAAGGTCTTCCTTCCTCACAGTGAAGGACCTACTCTATGCAAGTTTATATTCATAAAATCTTCATTCTTGTGACTTATTGAAAGGATGTCCTCCTCTCCCCAAATCCACTTTCTAATCTGGTGCTTGAACCCTCCCTACAACATTCCCCTGCAGTGACAACCTGTATTAACATTCCCTTAGAGCCATGGTCGGCAAACTGCGGCTCGCGAGCCACATGAGGCTTTTTGGCCCCTTGAGTGTGGCTCTTCCACAAAATACCACGTGCGGGTGTGCACGTACAGTGCGATTGAAACTTCGTGGCCCATGCGCAGAAGTCGGTTTTCGGCCTGGGCGAGTCTGTTTTGAAGAAGTACTGTTGATATTTGGCTCTGTTGACTAATGAGTTTGCCGACCACTGCTTTAGATGAATGACTCCCTGTGCCAGTAGTTAGCCACTTCCATTTGGGGATGTGTTTAGCGAATCGCTCCCTGTACAAGCATCCGTCATCTCTAATAGTAACGAGAGTTAACATTTTCTCGGCCCCTGTAGGCCAGAATCTGGGCTACGCTTTTACTCACGCAGCATGATATCCTTTGGGTTGCTATTACTATCTCCCCTTTACAGATGAGGCAAGAGGCACAGGAGGGATTTAACTTTTTTTTTTGCAGCAGCAGCAGGTTAGAAATTAGTAAATAGCAGGATCCATACCTGGATAGCGTAGCTTCAGACACCACTCTCTAACCACTGTGCTTCCCATCCCTTGCCTCTGCCCCACGTCAAACATGGAAGATGCCAAGCAGGGCGAGGTTAGGGCTGAGAGCCTGTTGCACGCCGTCATGTACCTTCCCACAGGGCCCAGGCTCCCGGGGCTCCCTCTGAAGAGTCAGCATGTGGGTGAAGCCCAAACACACTTGTCCGCAAAAGCCCTGTAAAGGTTCTAACTGGGCACGGCCAAGGCAGACAAGGACATGCACCAGCTCCACGTGCCTGACTCCATGACCACTCAGCCCACAGCCACGGACCCTCGCAGGAACTCAGGCACTTCACGGCCAGGCAGTCCCTGAAATGGTCCCTATTAAAACGCAGAACAGAACAGAGGCTGGTCTGACATGGCTTTTCTCAGCCCCGCCCCCCCCCTTCAGGTCCCCCAGCTTTCTTTTCCAAGTGCTCCCAAACCACTGGTTTAATAGTCCGCTCTAGAATTTGTCCAGGAGTTGACAGCAAGCTCATTTATATACAGCTTTGAGGTGTTCTCTCACTATCATTAATAAAAATCGGGCCACGTGACACCTTCTTGGTCTCTAATTTTTCTATGACCCTGTTGACCACACAAGTCATGTTTCTGAAAACATCTGTATCCATGTGTCTTTAGCCACCGTTTTGTAGGCCCTCGGCTGTTTCTTTCCAACCCCTGGGATTGAAATTCCCTGAAGCCAGAAATTCATTGATCGGAAGCAGCCAGAGTTCCCTGAGGAGCTCCCGACCCCCTCGGGCCTCTAAGCCACACTGGGCCATGATGCCCAGTTCTCAGATCCCACTGCTGCAGGATCCCATACAGAAACCCCTAAGAAGCGGGATTTGGTTGTCCTGCCATCAGACCATTTGCCCCACGCTGACTCAGCCATCGGTTACTGTCATTCCAGAACATGTTTTAGATGCTTTTTTCTTAAATTTGCATTTTTGGGGGAGGTAAGTTTCAGCCGAATATGACCTTATTCTTATGACCCTAAACTATATGCTTGTATTTCCTTCAGACAAGGGACCTGCAGAGAGGAAAGCTCAGAAAAGCAAGAGCTGGAGTCCGGCTTGTCGATGACCTGGGCCAGTTTATTTCATGTCTCCGAGTCTCAGTTTCCTCCACTGGCAAATGGCTGTACCATCGCTTGTTTCATGGGCACTTGAGATGAGTCGATGCTATAAGGCATGTGAAGCACGCAGCTCAGTGTCTGGTACTTAAAGATGCTCCACACATGTTCATTCTTTCTGAGAAAACGTGTCTCCTTCCTCGGATCACCCCGATTCTTCCCTGTTTGAGCTCAGACCACTTCCTGCCGCCCCTTCTTCTCTCTAGCAACTTCCCCCTTCTCTTTCTTGTGAGCCTCATTGACCATCTGGCCTCTCTCCCTCTCAATCCATTTTTAGCTGGATTCCCTCTCAGAAAATTCCTGCCGCAGACAGACTGTTAGACTTCGATTTGAACTTTCTTGAATCTATTTGTATAAACAGTTGCTGAGGGAAAGCAGTAGCTGTCACAGGGGCCACATTCCCACCTGGCTGGACCAGCGAAGGGTCAAGGGACCAGTTCCCTTCAGAGTGCCCATCCCAGGAGCACCACCGTCAGGGACAATAGTTCTGGCCGGAATGACCTTCCCAGCGTGAGGCAGGCAGGTCCCTCGGCCCAGAAGTCAGGCTTGATTGGAAATTAAATTGCATGCCAACGCCGACGGCAGGATGCCTATATCCACAGCTAATTCATCAAGGTGATGCCTCATCTCAGGAAGCCCATGGAATAGAGTGGCTGCGTCAGCGAAATTATG